CCCTTGTTATAGTTGATTTGTAAACCAACCGGTTTCGGTATTGTGCCATCTTCTACAACAACAACCTAAAAGCAAATATCGTTTTTCATCGAAGAAATATTGTCCGAATTTTACTATAGCTTGACGAAGTTCAACGGCTATGAAAACAAAAATCCACTTACATTAACGGCTAACGGCCACTGGTTCATATTGATTTGTTTGAAGTACATAAACTAAAGTTGGCAAGCCAAATTTACTCAACTTAACTTTGAAGAGGCTGTTATTGAACAAGTAGTTTTTAAGCAAAAACAAAACCGACTTCAATTATCATATACAAATGTAAGAATACTGTTCATTTCTTCATGATCCAATGATCGGATCTAAACCAAATTAATATGGGAGCACCTCGGAGGTACCACCTTTCCTTTACAAAACCATAGGAATCGGTTAATGTGGTCCAAAGTTATGCGGTAATATTTGTACAGAAAAAAATATTCCGACGAACAGATAAACTCTTACTTTTTAGAAGTCGGTTAAAAAGAAAAAATTATTAGCAATTTAAGTTGCTGAATAATCTGATTCATGAATTTATTGAACTTCTATTTTTTGAACTGAGAAGACAAATGCTTTTGCATTAGTATTAAATAAGTAATGCCTCAGTGTATATACATATGTGCATATAAAAGAACTCATATGCTTATACATAATTTCACGCATTTCTATAAGCTAAATGGTAAGAAAATTGCTTAGGCATGCTTGGCTGACCGATAAAATGAGTAGCCCCATTATTTAAAAGGGTGTTCAAGTACGCAAGCACGAATGAGTTAAAAGCGCAAACAAAGCGTAGAAATAAGGTGTACTCCAACTGCCAAGTAGGAAAAATAGACCTTAACTTAGATACTTGTACAAGATAGACAACTTTCGAACTCCATCCCACAATGGCGCAAATCTTAAATTGTTAGAAGAGCCAAAGCTTTCTGATAGTTAATTAAGACTCTAAACTTTCCTCGAAAAGGAATATTGCAGAGTGGTGAAAGAAAGCGCACAATGCCTTCTAATCTTTCAAGAGTAGATAATATATTGGCCATATACATTGTTAGATCTATCCTCATCTTTGACCCGTTGATGTGGTGAGGGGCGGTTGAAAATAAAACCTAACTATCCAAGATTCAAAGAATGCAACGACAAGCATGTCTGTTTATAGACAGCGGCGTTAGACACATTCCTGAATATTCCACTCACAGACATCTTCAAAATCCACTTAAGGCTACGAACTGCAATTTTTTCCACAGCAAATTGTCAATCTCTTCTAGGCCCTGAGACGTAGTGATATATTGCGAAAGTTGGAAGCAACAACTGAGCCAGAAAGTGATCTGAGATAGGATGACGGGAAGTGGTTTAAAACAGTTGAGGAGATCGCTGGGCAGTTGGCAACAGTCACGCTAACTCTGGCCACTGCTCAATGAACGAAAAACACGGAGATTTTTAAGTCCCTCCAAATCGAAGTTTCAGCTTCTGCTTAAAAGACACAAGACCATTAACCAGATTCGGAGATTTCCATAACGGTTTCTGCAGAAGATGTTGGAATGAGGAAGAGTAAGTGCCCTGCACTTAGGAGAATGTGCCTCAAATTTCTGGGAGATCACTTCCTGGATGGTTTAGGCAGCTGGAGGAAAGCTACATTCGAGGGTCTATTAGGGTTCACCTAGAATTTGAGGTGTTTTAGAGATTCCTGAGAAAATATCTGGTAAAGTCCTCTTCTGGACATTCCAGTGGGCCCGTGCGGCCTTCGAGTCAACTCTTCGACTAGAGCTGTGCATCTAACCTAACCAAACCGAACCTAGCCTTATAATGCTGCAATATCTTTCATTGGTGTAGATTTTCGAAGATATAATTTCCGTATAAAGAAAAAACTTAATTCAAATTAAAAAAAAAAATATATATATATATATATATAAAATGGACGAAAATGTTGTTTATTGGAAAACGCAAAATTTGAACTACCAAGTCGGGTTTCGGCCGGAAGTGGGTTAAACTGACCGGAACTGACCATTTATTTAAATGGAATATGTATGTTTTTACTACAGATTCGCCTTCTGTGGATAAAAATACGTAACTTTTTATAGGAAGTACCTTTTGACGTAGAATACGTCTTACCTTAAGGTATGGGGGCTATGTTCAAATGTTGTAGTTGTAATTTTTAGAGCTTCACAAAAACGCTTATTGCACGAGAACTGATAAAGCGATTTCAAAGAAAAGTGTGGCGTTTCAAAGAAAAAATTCCAAACCTGTCGACAGATTCATTTTTGTAAATAACCAATTCGGTTTCTGTCGTAAAAACAACGGTAAACATTGCCTTATTTTGGGGTCAATTTTGAGCCTTTAAAGTGCTCTAGCAACTTATTGTTGGCATATATAACTTTCATTTTCGGGATATAGGTTCTTTGGAGCAGTAGAAATATTATCGGGTACAAATTTTATATAAATTTAACAAATATTGAGCATTTTAAGGCAAAAAATTGTTGAAAAAATTTGCAAATTTTTTTCATTACCAAAATGCTCGAAAACCGCTCGAATGATTTTGTTTTTGTTTTCTTTAATCAAAAACTCAAGAGTTTTCCTTTCGTTTGGTATATGGGAAGTATTGGTTGATATCTTCTATATATGTTTATTTTATTCAAATATATGGGCATAAATGATTTTCCATACAAAATCACCTCGTCATCATTTTGCAAACACGTGCATATGTTGGAAGTGTGGGAAGGAGACAAAAAGTATGTATGCGTATGTAATGCGGCTTTTGATCGCAGCGTATGTACATATGTAAATGCATATATACGTACATATGAAAGTTTCAGTTAATGTGGATCTGTTTGGTTTTGTTATCGATATTTTTATCGATTTTGTTATCGATTTTGCTATCGATTTTGTTATCGATATTTTTATAGATTTTGTTGCCGATATTTTAATCGATTTTGCCATCGATATTTTTATCGGTTTTGTTACCGATATTTTCACCGATTTTGTTATCGAAATTTGTATCGATGTTGTTATTGATTTTGCTATCGATATTTTCGGAACTTATCGATATAATGATCGATATTTTTATCGATTTTGTTATCGATTTTGTAATCGATTCTGTTATTGATTTTATTATTGATTATTTATCGGTTTTGTTATCGATATTTTTTCTTGATTGTTTTAACAATTTTGCTATCGATATTGTTATCGCTTTTGTTATCGATATTTTTGTCGCTTTTGTCATCAATATTTTTATCGATTTTTCTATAGATATTGTTATCGCTTTTGTTGTCAGTATTTTTATCGGTTTTTTTTACCGATTTTGCTATCGATATTGCCATCGCTTTTGTTATCGATAGTTTTATCGATTTTTTTATCGAATTTATTACCGATTTTGTAATGGATTTTTTGATAGATTTTGTTATCAATTTTGTTATTGATTTTGGAATCGATTTTGTTATCGATTTTGTAATCGATTTTTCGATAGATTTTGTAATCGATTTTTTATCGATTTTGTAATCGATTTAGTTAACGATTTTGTTATCGATATTTTTATAGATTTTGTTATCGATTTTATTATCGCTTTTGTTATCGATATTTTTTTCTTAGTTTGTGCTTTCGTTTTTGACTTGGATATGCTCTTAACCATACCACGTATTCTACGTTTAAATTTAGCGGGTGTATCTCCGATACAGCCTGCAGACCAAGACGAAGGCGCTGGACTGTTCCTTTTTCAACATCTTAATGACCTTCGATTTTCAACTCGCACTGGACTTCTAAAATGGACGAAAACGTTTTTATTTATATTGATTTTACTAATAAATTTATTTGCTCACTTTTTATAGCGATTTATGAGAAACTCACTCACTTCTAACCACAACACTACAGCGGCCGTCAGTACCCCAAAAACTTAACTACTGCCCTGACAGCCCTATTTCATTTCAAATGGCACTTTTGAAAAATAAAAATATTTGAATACAATTTTGTGCAATCCCTCGCGAAAACAATTATTTTTACAAATACAATTTTCTAGTTTCTACAGTTGATGGAACCGAACTTAGTTTTAGCAAAGTAAAACTTATTTAATTGCTAAATGGAAATTCAAAAGTGACAGCTTATTCGGTACTTCTGTTTTTTCTATTTGGCACTATTTTATGGCCAGTATGGCACCTCATACCCGAAATCCTGTCTACGCCACTGCGGGTGTGTGCTTATGAAAATTGTATTCTAAACTTTTGAATCGTCATTACGTGCATTAGGAATGCCCTTGTGGTAATATAAAATTAAAATACCAACAAAAATGCTGTGCACCCATAGCATTTGAAGGTGCCACTCACAGCTCAAAGTGTTGAGTGACTAAGAGTACACACGCATACGTACTTAAGGGCGCACGGCATCAACTAAATTTAGAAGTATATACACATTGTAAGCGCTTAGAGCCTATGAATTTTGTTTTATGATCTTTTGCTTTCGAATTACGAAGCGTCGCAGCAATGTCGTTGCAAACACACGCTTGCGCAAATGCACGCAATGCCCGCGGCTGCTCCGACTAAACCTATTCGGAATCATAAGCAATTTGAGTTTCATGAAAGCAATTACATATTTCGTATACATATATACATATGTATTTGTGGTTTATCGTGCTAAACGTGTGAAGGGTAAAACTGTTAGATATAAAAATAAGGAAGGTAACAAAGAATTAATCGTAAATTGAATAAAAACTTAGATGTAAATACATATGTAATTAAAATTGATATTGAAAGGCGTTAAATATTGATTAAAAAACAATGCCAAAAACGCTTTAAAAGAACAAAGAAAAGTAATTACATATATTTCTTTATAAAAAGAGGAAAACTACTTTTTTAATATAAATTTTTTACCGCGCTTCTTTCGTTTATTAATCTTATAAGTTGTATTGACATACTTCTAAATAAAGCTTGAGCTCATTTTGTTAATTATCCTCCTTCTTTTTTTTGTTTTGTTTTTTTTCTTCCTAACAGATGAGGTGTGGCTGCATATATTGGGTGGATAAGATGTTAAATAAATCCTTTTATCATTTGGGCGTTTTAATTGCTAAACATCCTGGCTATTTTATTATAATACCGGTGCTGCTTACTATGCTCTGCATGACTGGGTAAGTACTTTCGTAAGAAGCTGTCTACATATATTTGTGCAAGCTTAATACGGCCTGCATTATAAAGGACCTTTTTTTATTTTTTTTTTTTTTATTATTCAGCTATCAACAATTAAAATACCAAATTGATCCCGAATATTTATTTTCACCTGTCAATGGAGAGGGCAAGGCTGAACGTGCTATTGTTGAGAACTATTTCAAGGTCAATTACACACATCGCTTCAATGTTGGACGCATAACGCGACCTGGTAAGTTTAAGAAGATTTAGTAATAAAAAGAAGACTCTCAGAAAATATAATCAATTCACATAAATTTTCTACAATTACTTTCTTCATAATTTTTCAATTACATTAACATGTTAAAATAGAATGAAATAAAATTAAAAACCAAATCAAATCAAATAACAAAAAAATATATAAAAATAAAAATTAATAATAATAATAAATTATTGTAAAATTGTAAATAATTGTTATAAAGGCCAAAAAAATAACAAAAACAAATAAGTCTGATGAGGAAATGTGGTGATTTCCGAAATAGCTATCACTTCTACCATTTTTTCAAATTATTGTTGCTTTTCCACAATAAAATTTTCATTTAAAACGGCCTCGAGCTCAATATAAGTTGTTGAATATAATTGTTATAAAGGTCAAAAAATAACTAAAACAAATAACTTAAGGACGAGCACACCTAAAAGTTAAACATTCTAAAAATAGAATTATTAGCAAAAACCAACAATACCAACAACCACATGATCAAGTGAATTGCAGCGGAATAGTTGCGCTTGATTGTGTTGGCATAACAAAAATGAAAATAGTGGAAAAAAGCAAACGATAATTTACAAGGCGTACTTAGCACGGTGCATAGGCAACTGGCTGAGTCAGTGGGATCGTCGGTTCGAATCCTACTGAAAGAAGTCTGATGAGGAAATGTGGTGATTTCCGAAATAGCTATCACTTCTACCAGTTTTTCAAATTATTGTTGCTTTTCCACAATAAAATTTTCATTTAAAATGGCCTCGAGCTCAATATAAATGGTTGAATATAATTGTTATAAAGGCCAAAAAAATAACAAAAACAAATAACTTAAGGACGAGCACACCTAAAAGTTAAACATTCTAAAAATAGAATTATTAGCAAAAACCAACCACATGATCAAGTGAATTGCAGCGGAATAGCTGCGCTTGATTGTGTTGGCATAACAGAAATGAAAATAGTGGAAAAAAGCAAACGATAATTTACAAGGCGTACTTAGCACAGTGCATAGGCAACTGGCTGAGTC